GGAGGAGAGGAGAGGAGAGGAGAGGAGAGGAGAGGAGAGGAGAGGAGAGGAGAGGAGAAAGAAGCCAAGCAACTTGTTAAAGAGTAGTGGGCATACACATTCAGACAATTTGTATATTCTTACAAATGTGTTTAATTACAACTGCTTCAAAATTATCCCAGATTTTCAAAAGTTTTATTTTAAGTTTGAAGACTAGACAAGGTCATACTGATTTTACAACATCCTACATGATTTAAGTATATATACAAAGAAAAAAACCAACAACATTGGAATATTACACAGCTTGAATGTTTGCAAAGGTTATTTGGGTCTTAGTTTTTTCTGTACTTACTGACACATCAGACGCCAGCAGTATTATATTTCATAATTTGTCGACGAGCAAAGGTACAATCATTAGTACCCAAAATTCACACCAGTCCTTATGAAGTCATTCAGAAAGAGAAAGTCAACCCTAAAATTAGACTTAGTGACTATAATAAATGCTTTTAATAAGACATAAATTAAATGAGGATGTTTAAAATGTTAATTTGATAGGTTATGAAATTAACATTATAGTTACTCAATGTGATGAAGACTAGAGTTCTGCGTATTCTTGCTTATAGGATTTCACTTGTTTTAGTGTGAATTTAAATAGAGTCAATTGACTTCACTTAGATGTCACTTAGATGCAAGTGACATAAAAGCTACATACTTCCTCACAATAATTATTAACATTTCCACATGTGAAAATCTCTTTATTGTCTTGAATTTTGGGGCATCATGGAACAAATAAATATCCCATTCATTGTGCCATGTTGGCCAAGAACACTTACAGCCGAGAGAAAATGCACAAGCAATAGAAGGTCAGTTCAATGTACTTCTAAAAGGTAACAAATATAATTTTAACAAACTCCCTTTGAAAATATTTGTTTAAAAAACTATTGATAGAAGGTAAAATTCAAAGCATCATAAGAAGCCATGAATAATTTTGAAAAAGTAAACCATTACAAAGAATTATTCATAATTTTTAAAACAGTCTATTAAGAATGAAGAGTTATGTGTTATCTACAAAGGAAAACGGCTAAAAATTTGGTGTAAAACTTAAGGGAGGAAGGGCTACTGGCTAGCAGTAAGTGTGTGTATATGTTTGGACTTAAATAATTATTTGCAACATGACTTTAAAATTTAGCAAATTAAAAATATTTAAATTCCTAACTTTAAAGTTATCATAAAAAGGCAATATTGAGGACATGGCAATTTGGTTTTTGAAAGATGCTGAAAACTGATCACCATTTCAGATGCTTCAAGTCAACAATTTTATATTAAGAGCCTGAACTAGAAAGCATGTGGGCTTAGGACAAATATGTGGCCAGACAGTTCTAATTTTGCTCTTATTAAAAATACCATGATGATTGACTTTCTCTTTAAATTCTTTACTATAATTGAAGACCACTCCATATATACATCATTAAGAAATGCTAATAACACATGGACAGACAAGACAGTAACAATCTAGTGGCTTTTGTTATGCAGCACAAATAGTAAAAGAAAAACAAACTTTGCAGTGTTGCACAGGACCTCAGCATTTCGTAGACATACTGTACTTTCTTTTCCAGGACCCTTAATTTAAAACTCTAATAATTCGGTGTCTAAGCCTTATAAAATAAATAATTGTAAAGCTTATAAGTTAGATGTTGAGGACTTTTATGGAGGCAGTGTGAGCTTTAATTTGAGAGATATGTCAATGAAACCTCCATTATCAATAACAAATTGTTATGATAATTGCTTATTTTTTCAGGACCTTTGAAGCAAAATAAATAGAAATCAATTTTCATCTTGAAAATGGTTTACTATTCTGTCATTAGTAAGTACTTTTCTTCTCACAAATAACTAACTACACAATGTGCTTTCCTGGGAAACCACCACCAGTTTCAAATCCTAATGAAATTCTGGTTTCCCAGGAAGTGCAGAGATGAGTAAAGAAATCATGAGTATGCTTGGCCAAGCTACACAGCACTATGTTAACATTGGTTTGTTAAAAAAAAATTTTAAATAGACAAATCCTTCATCATTCTATTATGTTAAAGTAAAGATAAGGCTATACAAATACCATAAAAATGAAGATAGAAATTTTGGTTTAAAGGGACATACTACAATTTTATTCTTGTTTATCTTGCAAAATGGTAGTATTGGGTTCTTTATAAAGGAAGTATTTGGAATTTACATAATTATAGCTTCCTTCCAAAGTAGAATTTCAGATTCAATCTACTGATATTAATAAGGTCATTCTACTAATTTTCAGTCATGTTCCATATGTAAACAAACATGATACTTCTTTTAGGCAAATAAGAGAAAAACTCAATTGGAAAAAGTATGAACTTATTCAGGCAATATATAGGATATAAAGCAGAACAAAAAGAAAAAAGATCACATGGTGTCTGATAGAAATAATAAAAGTAAGATGAGAATTATAGTATCAGTGAGTACTGCATGTTACAAATTCTTCTTCAAAATCCTGTTACAAACACCGAGAGTGTTTGGGAGGCACGGGAAACAATGTAGAGCCGCTACAGAAGAAAAAACTTATTGCTAACACTGTAGGATTCCTTTTATAGGAACTGGTTGGGTATAGATTATAAAGTTCTACCAACTCTTGCTTTTATTTGATACCTATGAGACTGACTTACCCTTGCTACTTTCTCTCCCTCATATAGTTCAACCAGCGTGAGTCATTCGGGAAACCATGAGAAAAGGAATTCACAACTAATGTGATGTTGCTTAAGAAACTGAAATGATAAAGATGAAATTAAACCATGGAAAAGGCAGGCTTAGACCTCCTTAAAAAGACAGTTACCGGCCCACCGTCATCCGAGCACTGCTCCACGGCGAGCCCCGTGGGCCCCGCGGGTCGCGCACAGTCCGCGCCGCGGGCCGGGCGCCTCACTCCTCCGCGCAGCCCAGCAGCTCGGCCCGCAGCGTGATGCGCCCGTACCAGGACCAGGGCAGGATCCGCAGGTGCCGCGCGTGGATGGGGGGGTCGATGACGTTTTTCCTGTGGGTGTCGTTGTCGAAATTGCCCTGGAAAACCTAGCGGAGGAGAGCGAAGAGTATCAATCATAGAGCTGCTTTTCCTTGGGAATTATTTGTATTCTTTTCTTGTTTGTGAGAACAAGAAAATGTGAGATTTGATAACTAATCACGCTAGGTTTTTAAAAACATATTGCAGCTTCTTTTTAATGATCATTTTAAAATTAAATCGTCAATCTGTAAAGAATTAAATAAGACAAAAATTTGTTGTGTAATGCAGGAACACATAGATCTTTCATTTTATCTGCCTTTCAGGTTGTTGGTTTTTTTTTAATGCAACAAATATTTTTTGTTTTTGTCACAGCGACGCTGGTTAAGCGGTTTGCTGAAAGTGTTCTCAGCTCAGAGATCCAGGCTGCTTGCAAATTACAGCCACATCTGAAACATGGGCCTGCACATTCACAAGGGACAAGGGGAGAGAGAGCTGCTAGACGGTGCAGGGTATTTGAAAGAGCAAGGTATGGACGCAGCTTGCATCATTTCTGGGTACATCTCATTGGCCTTAACCAATTCTGTGACCCTGGCCTAACCGAAAGGGCGGAAATGCAGAGGAACTCATGGGTCTGGGGTGAGCACAGCCGTCTTTATCACAGTGTCCTTTGCTCACTTCTCACATAGAGAGCAAGATTAATCCATCACCAAGAAAGATGACCTGATCAATGCTATTTTTGAGCCACTTTTTTTTGGCTTTCCTCTCTAGTAATTCCTGGATCCATCATCTGCTGGGATCACCGGGGCTCAGGATGCTCTTAGATGTTGGCACTGAATGACTGTTCTCCTTTACTCTTTTGTTTCAAACCTTTTGAGCATTTTTCTCCCAAGAGAGCTTCATCATAACTTTGACAAGTCTCTGCTTCAGGAAAAATAATATCAAAATCAAAACACTGGGATCCTGCCCTGGCCGGGTGGCTCAGTAGGTTGGAGCAATGTTATGTACACCACGATCTTGTGGGTTCGATTCCCCATCAGGGCACAGGCCTAGGCTGTGGGTTCAGTCTTTAGTGGGGCATGTATGGGAGGCAACGGATCGATGTTTCTCTCTCACATCAATGTTTTTTGCTCTCTCTCTCTCAAAAAAACATACCCTCAGGTGAAGATTAAAAAAAATATATATAAAAAACCCACAACATTGGGATTCTGATGAGAATGACATTAAATAGATCTATCATTTTATCTGCCTATGGCAATAATATGACCCTAAAGTAATCATACATTACTTTTGGAGAAATTCATGTATTTATATTTATTCTTAAAGATTTTACTATTTGAAACACATAGATTCTGCACATTATTAAATTATTTCTAACTATTTCATATTTACATGTTTGTTTTAGCACAATTAGGATAGTAAAAATCACTTCAAGGTTTCTCTTTTAACTTTATGAGGCATCTTATAATTAGAAGATAACTTTATTTTTGGCTTCAGATCAAAACATGACTATATGACCAAAGGGAAACCTGAAAATAAAATCACCCCCAAAGCAGGAAAAAAAACACCACTCCATCATCACATGACAATATTTAGCCCATATCTTTGAATATCCTAAAATTAAAAGGAATGTTTTAATAGAAGCAACAGGCAACATTGGGTAATCTTTCTGTTGGTTTCATGGAAAGACTGAGGGGAAACTCAAGTGCCATTGATATCTGGTGGGGAATGATTTTTCAACTTGACACCACATATATCTCAAATTGTATTTTTGAATAAATATTTGCTGAAGAAGAGAATACTGAATTATGCCCAGTCTAGAACTCATCCTCCTGGCACACCTGAATTCACATTCCTATAACGGAAATTTTATCTTCAGCAACATTCTGGCTTGCATTGACCAAGGAGGAACTAACCCTCAATTAAAATGTGTTACTAAGTAACAGTGTCTCTGTTAGCAAAAGTTCACATGTATAGGACATACCTCAAAAACACTCATCACAATTTTGAGAGAGGTTGTCATTGCAACAGCAGAAAGTAGGGGAGTACATGTTATGGTTCCCTGACATTCTCTCTGACATAGGATATTGGATTCAAATGCTTCACTGAGACTCTGGTGTTACAATTTAATATAGAAGCTAAAATCCAATTTCATAGCCCTGCTAGAGAACTTAATGTATATCTTTGGAAAAATGGAATTTAAATTCATTAACTTTCATCACAAGATCTATGACAGTCCACAATATACTGTTATACCACTTGTTGGGAAGGAAATACAGGAAGAAACAATTTTTTTTCAAGTCGCTGGTCTTCAGCACATGTTTCCATCAGAAACTATGAACCCAAAAAACTAGAGTCGACTTAGTTATACTTATATATTTATAATGGAGAACACATATAGAGAAATGACATCGGCTCTCAAATGGCTCACAGCGAGGACATTTCTGATTTATTGTGTAAAAGTCATAAATATTTGAGTGCTCATTAAAAACAATTAAATGAAGTTTCATAAAACAGAATGATTTAAAACAAAAATGTCTACAGAAAAACAGCCAAAATCTACATTACAATCACCCAAACCGTGATATGAAACTACTGAAAATATAGTCTTATTTTCAGAGTTCTCTCGGTAATGACACGGAACAGAACACAAAGCACACATTTGCAAATTCCAGCACGACATCTTGTACTTGCTGTGCGAACATGTGGCACATACACAGTCTTCTTGTCTCTAGCACTGGGAAGATCCTGCTTAAGAATGCTATTGCAATGTTTCACCTGGCAAAAAAAAATGCAAACTCAGTATTCTTAGTTAGCTTCATAAAATCTGTAAGAATTCTAGAAGAGTGCTCTCACATACACACTTTAGAGGCTTAAGCACCTTGGTTGAAATCAAGCCTGAAAAGGCTGATGGAGAACATTAAATCTCCATATAGAAGGGAAAACATTATAGGCGAGAAAGAGGCTTTGATTCAGGAGTTTTTAAAAAGAGTTTGCACGGGTTTCAGTTTCAGGAGACTTAATTAGCCCATGACAGGTGTACTGACGTACTCCACCAGGAGAATGCTTAGGGTTCTCTTAGGCTTTTCCCAACATATGGGGTCTCAAGAAAAAGGCACTCAAGGTACTTTGGAGAGGTCTGTACAATTACGACCTAGGAGTATGAACGAGAAAGTGCGGCTGCCTCCACGCGGCTGCGATCTTGGATTTTGTTTCCTGATATCAACTCTTCTGTAGTAGTTAAAATTCAAATCAGATTCAAGGGATTATTCAAATCTCAATGCGGAGAGACTATCCGATAAAATAAGACAATTAGATGTTGCTTCAAGCAACATTTAATATTTTTTGTAAGAGGAGACTTGTCGTTCTTGGTTAGAGACGAAGGTCTACCAAGGCCAGAGCAGATGTCACCATGGGAGGCGCCGAGGATCTTGGAGGAAGCGATGGGCTCCAGGGCGGGGTCTGAGCGCTGGGCATGGCCCAGCTTCTCTTCGCACCATGTCATGACCCTGCCTTCCACAATGTCAAGAAACCCTTTGGGGATTTCTTGCATATACTACTTAATTAGCAACTCATCTGGTTTGTGAAGTGTAATTCTTTTTATTTGTCCTAAACTTAACTCATTAAAAGTTTGAGAGATTCCCATTGTTCCAACCCTTTGGAATGTATGTTCATATTGTCCAAATAGTGAGTAGTTTTAAGCATTTTTTTTTTTTTTTTTTTTTTTT